TGCCACATTTCAGATGAATGGAAATATTCAAAGTAAATGAGCGAGTAAACCTGGTATTTTTGAAAAATAAGTTTTGAGACTATAGTTTATATGCAAGATGCTCTATAAAATAAAAATAATATATCATAATTCACAAGACTCATGTTTTATCTACTTCTTCTCTGGTGTCCTGCCTGCCAGGATATTATTCCTGCATTGATAACCATTCATCTCATCTACATTCATCTCATCTACTCCATCTATTACTGAAGCCTGCTCCTTCGCCCCCCCCCCCTTCAATAGACAAATGCCAAAGAATCAAACTCTCACCACTTTGAGCCTTCTGGAATCTCTGCAATTGCTCTTCTTCTGTATTAAAGTCAAATTTTCATCCTGCCAACCTCCAGAATGATAATGATCTGCTGCCCCCTTCCCTTCAAAGACCAAAAAGTATTTCATATTCATTTAATAAATGAAACACATCCACTAGCCAGGTCACTATTCTCATCATTTCACAGATGAAAATGCAGGCCAGAAAGCGATATATTTTTGTCACAGGTTGCACAGCAAGTCAATGACAGAGCTGAGGACTGAACCAAGGAGTCCTACCTTCAGTCCTGTGCTGTAACTACACTATATTTTTCTCTTTGTACTTACCCCCTTCTATATTTATGGCCTTGGCTTCTACCTACTTGTTACTTATATTATTCTGCTTGAGCTATTCCTTCACTTGTTCTATGTCCCATTTGCCTTAATAGCCTGCCTTCTGATATGTGCTCCCTCTTCCCCTGTTGTTGTTTGTAATGGCCTTAGCCCACTCCATATACTCACTGCCATGCCTAAAACTCTTTGCCTTTGTGGTGCCTGTTTTAAGTCCCTTGGTCAGAACCCAGATGTCCACACTCCTGTGTCCAACAGTGATACTCACAGAACAGACTCTTTGTATCCCTGGCAGATCTTCATTCGCAGCACAGATTATGATCGGACACTGATGAGTGCAGAGGCCAATCTGGCAGGACTGTACCCCCCACAAGGACAACAGGTGTTCAACCTCAATATTTCCTGGCAGCCAATCCCTGTACACACTGTGCCTGACTCTGGGGAGAAGGTGAGTTATTTTCAAGGTTAAATATTGGCATCTTAGGCATGGTATTCTCCTTCTGTCCAAGAGCTTACCTCTTCAGTGTCCTTCCCCTTCAGTCCTCAGCTTACTCCATATTGCTCCTTAGCCTGGCCTTACAAGGGATCCCCCTGCTCCTCGACCTGGAAGTCTCCTTGTGTCCCATGTTGATTTAATTGTTAGATGCAGTGTCTCATTGAAAGGAAGATCCTTCCTCAGAGGGAGATGTTTGTACTCCTTCTAAGGGTACAGTTCATCAGCAGGGTGGTGGTGGTTTTGGTGGGGCGGCAGTACAGTCATTGCTGCTTGTCAGAAACTTCCCTGATCCAGCCTCTTGTTTTCTTTGTCCAGTTGCTGAAGTTCCCATTATCCCCTTGCCCGCGATATGAACAGCTACAGAATGAAACCCGGCAGTCAGCAGAGTACATAAATAAAACCAGACAGAATTTGGTAAGTGAGAAAAGGTTTCCCTGAGGAGAAGGGAAATATCTTTTTATGATTGTAAGTCTCAGGGCAGGGTGGAAGATCTCCACTCTGCAGAGCTGTGCGATGGCGAGCAGAAACTTTGAGTCTCTACCTTGTACCCTGCAGGAGTTCCTGGAGATGGTGGCAAATCGGACAGGGATCCAAGATGTGTCCCTGGAGTCTGTCTGGAGTATATACGACACACTTTTTTGTGAGGTAAGTTAATTTGGGGGTAAATTAATTTGAGCATTTCCCCCACAACAGCAAGGATCTTTGGCTCAGTAAAGTGGGATTAGGGATTCCTTAGACTGAAAACAATTGCATTTGGTGAGAAATTAATATGGCTGTTGTACAACAACCTTCCACTTCTCCACAGTGTAAGATCACAGGCATAATTTAGGAAATCTATCTGCTTTTGCACCATAGATCCTCTAAAGCATATTTCAGATGTCATGCCAGAACTAATTTCACCTGTGGCATTCTGTCACCAGAGAAAGGAATGGTTGTCCCAAAACCTTTGCTATTCTTTGGCTTGAATTAGTTGAGACAGGAGATTTTTCTTAAAATGGAGAGAGTGCTAATTTGGTTGTTTGAGCAAGGAAGATGAAGTCAAGACTCCTGGGAACTATTTTTGATTCTCGCATAGCTCTGTTAACTTGGACCAGTCATGTTCTTGGTAGGTGCCTCAGTTCCCTTATTTAAAAAAAAATATATAGTCCTACAATCCAGAGGACTATTAACTTTTATCCTCATGATTTGTAAACTGTTTTGTGTTCATCTGACACAGGAGGCTCTGGAGAAGAACAAAGTGGTGTCATTTTAGTAATTCCTAAACAAAAACTACATTAAAATGGAGTTAATTCAATATTTATAGCAAGTATCAGAAGACAAACATTACAAATCCCTAAAATTTAGAGTAGAGGTTAAAACTAAAAGAAATCCAAACAGAACACTTGTTAACCTTAACTCTACACTGTAGCGATAACTTGAATTTTCAGAAAAGTTTCTTTTTCTTTGTAGCAGCCCAGAGTTAAAGTTATTTTTTTGGCCATCTTTGTAAGGACAGCCTGTGGTTTGAGCTCCATTGAACCACTGGGAGATGGGAGCCATTTTGAAAGAGGGCAATTCTTTGAGGTGACTTTGAAGAACATTCTCCAACCTCTGCTGAAAGTGAAACTTCCAGTTGTGAAGAATAATAGGAAAGGAGATAATTAATTCTGAATATTTCTTCTCTCAGTCTTCTACTTGCCCCTGGTCTTTTCCAAATCTACATCTTTGCTAATTTGTGTGTAGACAGACAATGCCTGAACTGAGATGGTTGGGGATAAAACTGGTCTGATATAAGATGTTACATTTTTTAGGACTCATTTTTTAATTAGTTTTGAAGTAGGAATAAGAGATCCTCCGGAATAGGGCTTTATTCCAGAGGATCGGGCCAGTCTAGACGCTTTTTTCTGACTTTCCCCCAAGCCGGAAAAAAAGCGGCGGACATGTTTATTTAAATCCCGCGGGGGATATTTAAATCCCCCGCGGATTTCCCTATTCCCACTTTCAAAATTAGCATGCCCCTTCCGAAGAAGGGGCCACTGTAGACGTAGCCCATGTGTAGACAATTTTAATCCAGGAAGTGGATTGAGTTAATTCTTTAAAAAATACTCTTACTCCAGAATTAGAGTGCCTGTACATGATTTATTCAGCAATAGCTATTCCCTAATAACTACTCCTGAATAACTCCATGTGTAGACAAGTCATTAGACTTCAAAATCCCAGTGGTCCAAATACTGTAATTACTAAAATAAAGCATTCTAAAAAGGTTCATTAATTAGAGAGGCCTGTCCCTCCCAGATTCCAGTATGTTTGCAGAGATTCCATCTGGATTCTCTGTTTCATTTTTTTGACTTCTGCCATCATGTTTTTCCATTGATCATGACACCTGAAAAGCTAGGTAGCCCCTGATAGAGAGAGGAACAAGCACTCTGATTTCCAAAGACTCTTACCATATAATCCACTATTTTTCTTTGAAGGAATCAGGATTTAGGCAGTTCCTGCTACAGGTTGTACCTCTGAAAACCAGCACTCTCTGGTCCAGGAACATCTGGACCACAAATGCTCCTGGACCAGAGAGCCCAGGAGCCTAATGGCAGGAGGGCCAGCAGACTGGCCAGGGACAGCGGGGCCGAGCTGGAGGATCCCAGGTGCCAGAGGAAGAAGAAGCTTGGCTACCTCTGGCACCACAGGGACAGAGAACCCTGGCAGCCTGCGGCAGAGCTGGGCCAGAGGAAGAAGCTTGGCCGCCCATGGCAGTACAGAGGCAGAGAACCCCAGTAGCACGGAGCCAGGGGCTGGAAAATCCCATCCGCCCACGGCAGCACAGGGCCAGAGGAAGAAAAAGCGTGGCTGCCTGCAGCAGCGCAAGTTGAGGAAAGTGTTAGTATTCTGCTCTCTTCTTCAGAATACAAGTGCCTGTGCTTCTGATGACTTCCCCTCTATGAATGTGCTCTGCCATAGCTACAGCTTAGTCTGAATCTTTTTCCTGCTCTTTTGTCTGATACTTTGATTTGTGGCTGTGTGTGGTCTCTGTGGGGCAGAATCATCTCCACATAAAGAAAATGCTCCAAGATTATCATCTCAGCAACTTGAGCTAACGTCTCATTATGTTTGTTTTTTAGAGAAATTTAGTTCCTAGTTTTTATTCTTACTATTCCGTAGTGCATGGGGTCTCAAAACTCCTAGCCTACAAGCCATCTCTGGTTGGAGCAATTGTGCAATCCAGTATGGGAATCCAGGGGTGGAGAGCAGGCTATCCCTTCTCATTCACCAATCCCCACTCTTCCCCCATTGCACCCTGTCATCCCTTCTCATTCACCAATCCCCACTCTTCCCCCATGTACTCCAAAGCCACTTTCTCAGGAACGGAGTGCCCGTGGACAGGAGAGGATGTGAAGGTGCAGGGCTTGGGGACTAGGAATGGACAGCCCTCACAGCCCACTGGAACTCCAGGGCCAGATTGCATACAGGACATCCCTGCTATAAGTCGCCCCTGGTATACATCCATTTTGCACTAAAGTTGTTGATGTTTGTAGGAACTGATGCGTTATAAGTCCTCCCATTTCCTGCACTTAAGTTGCGCAAAAAACCCCAACAATTTGTGCATATGGAATTCCGCCCCAGGAAAAAACATTCCCTGCTTTAAATTGTTTTTCTATAAGTCCATGTTTTTTGGAACATATCATGAACTTATAGCAAGGACAGCCTGTAACTGCTCTGGCCAGTGGCAGCCCATCAGCCAGGTGTTTGAGATGCATGCCTTCTGAAGAGATGGACAAATGTCTTACTAATGTAGCTCTGCCATAGGGGTGAAAGAGGAGACAGCCCAAATGAGAAAGGGAGTCATTCATGGCAGAATCTGGACTAGATTCCAGATCTTCTGACTCCCAGCCCTCTGACTTACCTCCTGTCCATATTGCCTCCCTTTGAATGAGTTCTCCTGTCTTTTCAGCAAACACATAAGCTGACACTGCCACACTGGGTGACCCCAGATACCATGACTCGGTTGAAGCAAATAAAAGACTTTGGCTTTGAATTCCTGTTTGGGATCCACCAGCAGAAGGAGAAAGCTCGCCTGCAGGGTGGTGAGTAGGGAAGGGATTAAGGATGTTAAAATGCGTTTATTTTTGTAAATGTGTAACAGTTGAAATTTACAGTAGTTACACATTTGTGTGTGAGGGTTCCTACCTGCTCCTCCTCCTCCTGTTGCACTACTGCCTCTGTGGGAGGCAGGGGGAGGGAGGTGGCACCCCGGGGAGCTAACATGCACAGGGAGCCAGCTTAAAAGCTAGCTCCCCAAGCTCATACTGGCTCCCATCTGCCCCCTTCTCCCTGCTGCTGCCTGCCACCTTCCCCTCCCCCTGCCTTTAATTCAGAGGCAGCTGTGGGGGAGGGGGCACTGCATATAACCATTAGGATTAACTGATGAGTCTAGGTTCATCGGTTAATTGTGTACATGGGAACACGTTCACATACCTAGAAGGGATGGCATTTCAAGTGAGACCCATTCTGTCCTAATGAGTTTTGGGATTTGACAGCTATTCTCTTTTCTTAGGGGTTCTGCTGGCTCAGATAAGGAAAAACCTGACCTCTGCAGCAAATGCCTCTGCACCCCAGCATCTGAAATTACTTGCCTACTCAGCAGTACGTCTGAATTTGGGAGCTGCACTCCCACTCCATCTGCCAAGGGGTTTGGGCCTTGGTGGTGGTTCTGCCCCCTTCCATCAAGTGTAGTCCTTACAGACTGCATCCAGGATATGTCTCTACCCATAGCAGTATTCTCTCTACAGCAGTGGTCTCCAACACAGTGCCTGCAGGCGCCATGGCGCCCGCGGGGGCATTTGTGTGCGCCCACCAAGTGCTCGGGGCTGGCCTGGCCCCGGGCACGTGGTGCATGCATGGTGCCAGAGCCGGCCCCGGGCACATGGCGCATGCATGGTGCTGGAGCCTGCCCCGGGCACGTGGCGCACGGTGAGTGCTGGCCCCAGGAGCACCAGGTACTGGCCGCCCGCGCTCTGGGCGTGCGGTGCTTGGGGG